ATGACAAGGCACATACTATATTTGATGAATTCATCAATTGAATGCTTTATGCTGCAAAATAAAACTTTAAGAAGTTAATGCAAAAAATAGTTGGAAGAAACAGCCAAGAACTAAACAAACTGATATGTTCAAAAAGGATTGGTTCCTATCTGACTGCTTTTATACATGAGATAAGCAAACTGGAAAAGATTGCCCGAAGAGAAAAAAGTTCAACAACCTGATATTTCCAATAAGAGGTCTACTAGACAAACTGGCCCACTGAGGAATAACATAGTACAAATGCCAATTAGTTAACTGTAAACTCTGGGTGGCACAAAAATATAGAGGGATAAAAGACCAATTCATGTTGTGATAAACAGTAAGAATTAAAAATATGAAACAAATACTGCTGGAGTCTTCAAGAACTACTTTGTCAACTAATTTTATTTAACAATATTATAGATTCCGCTTGTTTAGTGTTAAAAGTATGTATTTAATAGAAAAAAAAAATTGAACCTTAGATCCTGCAATGTAGCCTCCACATGATCCAAATGATTTTGTAAAAGTTCCCATCATGATATCTACATCAGCTGTGTCCACTCCTAAAAGTTCACAGACACCTCTGCCTGTTTTTCCAACTGCTCCAATGCTGTGAGCCTCATCCAAATAGACATAGGCCTAAAAATAAAAAGCAAAATGAAAAGCTAAAAGCAGATAATGAATATCGTCAATGCTTCGCTATCTTTTTTTTTTTTTTTTTCATCTCAAGAAGTCATACGGCAATTAAGAATATGTTCTTGGATTAGGGAAATCTTAGTCCAGAGGACAGCATTCATGGTCTGATTGAATAATTCTTGGAAGATTACTTTATATTTTTTGCAAATGGCAACAATTTCTGGGAGTTTGCATATTTCCCCTTCCATGCTGTATATGCCTTCCACTACGACAATTATCTTCTTCCATGGCCTGTGTGACCTAGGTTGTCCATCCGCAATTTGCTCCCTCAAAACTTTATCCAAATGTGATGGAGCTAAAAGTGGGGGAAAGGTGAGTCAAAAAATTAGAGTTGTTACATTGACCAGAAATTACAATTATCAGAAGAAACAATGGAGGTTCTATACCACTTACTATTATGTTGAAAAACACGAACTGTAGCTCCTGAACCCCGAGCACCATTAACTATTGAATTATGATTCAATGAATCGCTAATAATTAGCCCTCCCTGCAGTTGAACAAATGGTCATAGTTTCAAACACTTCTAATTTAACATTCAAGAGGAAAATTTCAATTCGTATCTCTCCGTTTACCTTCCCTATTAGGACTGGGAGAATGGCAGAGTTTGTTGCATAGCCCATACCAAACACTAGAGCAGCCGGCTTTCCAACAAAGTTAGCCACACATACCTCCAACTCTTCATGCAATGAAGTGGTTCCTAAGATCAAAATAGAGAATTAGTACATTCTAGACGCCAGCGAAGAAACATGATGCAAAAGTTTATTATTTCCAGTTACCTCCATCAGCACGAGCACTACAGGTGCTTGGAGAGAACCTTTTTAATGATTCAATCACACGAGGAGTGCAATATTCATCCGCAGCGGCAAAACCTAGGTAATTGTACGATCCCAGGTTCAGACACCTTGAGACATTTGTGGTTCGCCTGTATGGTAAATGTATTGAAGAGTTATTGTAAAAATTCCAAAACATAGCTCGAATCCAATCTAACAAAATGAAAAGAGGCAATGTAGCAGCCCGTAGGGGGTTCATCAGAGACAAACTTCAGCGTCTTGTTATAGTCATTGGAGTAACGCTCAACCACATCAATCCAAGCATCTGGCGCGCTTGCTATAGGTCTTCCAAAACAGTCCTGCTCGAAAAAAAAAGTACAAGAATATGGATAAAATGAGGCTCCTCGTAGTTGATGGAAGTAAAATACGTAAGAATTCTTGAACGTTTACTGGAAATATATCGAGCTATTGGATTGTAGTTGGAATCATGATGAAGGAGGTCCAGTTTTTCTAATAAAATATTTGAACTCAAGATGATGAGCAGTAAGTAGAGTAATCAAGATTTCATGCACTGCAGTGCGGCTTAACAAGATTGTTAATAGAAAGAATGTGCGAGAGGGAAAGCGAAGCAGGCAAAATGGATAATTTGAAACTTAAAAAACAAAGAAACAGCAAGAAATGTTATTCCAGAAGGTGAATTAAAAACGAAATGCATACTTGAATGCGAAGATAAAGGCGACGGATGTAAAAATCCTCGAGTCCTAAGCAGATCGGAGCGTAGCCCTGCGGAAGGAAGTGGAAGAATTAGGGAAGGGATGCGCATTGAGAATAGGAAAAAGAAAAATCAGGGATGGGAGATTGGCGCCGGCGCGGACCTGAAGATTGCTAGAGTTCCACCAATCAAAAATCTTTCTGAAAAAATCGCGGAATTGACCAAAGACGAAGAGGAGACCATAGCTAAAATAGGTGGTCAAGGCGGTCAAGTACGGGATGGTAATCATCTGGACCTACGATTTGCCGGGAATTATGAAGCTCTTACTTTGCGTTCGACAGGGCCTCGATCTCCAACCTCACACAGGGCTGCTCTTCAAACTTGGGATTCCTCCTCCTCACCGAACATTCATTTTCTCATTTTAATTTCCAAAAACAAAACATGAATAACTAATTTATAATTCTTTTTACAATCACGTGGACAACTCCCGCTGGGGACCATTTCGTCTTTTTGGCATTTTTAAAATTTTTTTTTTTAGAGTTCAACAAAGACGTTTAACTGCCGAAAAGACGAAATAACCCCGGAAGCGCAGTATATGTATAATGTTTAGGAGAATTGGGGAAAAAGAAAATCAAAACGTTTACCAATTTTTTTAAAGAGACTAATTTTATTCGTTTTACAAAACGTTTACCAATTTTATTCCTCATCTTCCCCAACTTTTTTTGTTTTGCTACTTTACAACTCTTGCTCATTATATCATCGTCTCAATGACTTTACAACTCTTATATATATCATATAATTTATTCTTTTATTACGTGTATATTTGGTTAAATTCGAATTTTAATTAGATGTTATTTCACTGGTTGAAAATAAAATATTTTTATTTGACACAAAAAATTTATGTTTACACATCTATTTTTGTTGGTTGTTATTTGTTGATATAAATTAAATATTCAAATAAAGTTATTTATTATTGAATATCATAATAAGTTGGTTTAATAAAAATGATATTAGTTGTTATTTGTTGATATAAATTAAATATTCAAATAAAGTTATTTATTATTGAATATCATAATAAGTTGGTTTAATAAAAATGATATTAATACTTGCTAGTTGATATAGGTTTATTTAAATTAGTTATTATTTTTAATATATAATATATGAATAATTACAGTAGGCTTAATGTTAATGATAAGTTGATTAAAGGGAATGTAAATATGGTTTATGGCCGGATCCATATCTAATCTAATGAATAAATAGTAAGTAGGGTAGTTAACTTTTGTTGAAAATAGTTCATTTAAATAGGTAATATCTTAATACAGATTGGAAACAAAAAAGAAGTATGAAATATATATAAATAAATATAATTAAGAAGCAGAAAAATCATCGTCAGACTTTTGTTGGACAGAGCTGGCGAAGAAACTGGTGGAAGTACTGGAAGAGGATGAGGTGGTGGAGGGGGCGGGGGAGGCGGCTGAGGCGGAGGCGTTGCCGTCGGAATGGTTCGTAGACATAGAATAATATTGGAGTTGCAGATGATGATTATATCTATTGGATTGGAGTTTCCTCCAAAAGATGCGGCAAATAGCCCACTTGTTCATGTTATTCAATACAGTTGGAGTATGAGTTTTAGGGTGAGTGGCGATGAGGCGATACTGATGCATAACCCACCCTGTCCTACTCCCACCTCTGTTCCTATTATTGGCGTAGAAAACCAGAGTCTTCTTCATCCCCACACTCACGCTCTGACTGCTACTACTGGAGCTTACTATTCTCCTTTCACGCCCTTTGGGTTTGGCCTTCCAGTACCCACTCGGAGTCCACACCCATCTTCCATTCTTCTTTCCTGTTTCTTCCTTGTTGATGAACAAGTATGTGCACCTCTGTTCCACCTCCCAATCCCCACCTGCATGCATTATTTATCCATCATCACTTTTAAGTCAACACAACGCCCTAAATGCAGTGAAACAAATCTCACCTGGAACCTCCCAAGGATCGAAGTGGCAAACATTGACCTCTGGAATGATGGAAGCAGGCAAGGCGCAGGAGAAGACCTTGCATTTTAGATACTCAAACACAAGCTCTTCTTCCGTCGGCTGAAATCGGAACCCAGGGGGCAATCCCCTCATTCCATCTCTCCCGAACTTCAACTTATCCATCAGTACTCAACTCATCACCCAAAATCCCACCACATTTATAACCCCATTGCATCAATCCTGCCCTCTCAGTTGAATTTGTCTCCATTTTGTATGGACCGATGAGTGGAAAGATGACACATAAAGCTCCGTGCAGGAAATGAAAGAGCGGCCTCCTTTCGCAAACTTAGTTTATGGGTTTTCAAAAGTTGGGTGGGAAAGAAAGATTGATCATCAAAGCTCTGGATTCTTTATTTTCTGTTCTATTTTAAATTTTCCAGAAAGCAAAAGCAGAAAAAGGAAAGGTTGCTACAAAAGTCGATTTCCAATTGTACTTTTCTTCGCGTTGAAGATGCTGCCTTTTCCTTTCACCCCATTCCGACCGCCGTCTTTCCCTTGCGGTTGTTACCGGTTGCATTGGGCCCGTTTGGTATCATTTGGGCCTTTCCTAAGCTCCCAAACAGACCCCAATTTAAGGGTTTATTGGTTGGGCCTTTCCTAAGATGCCCAATTTAAGAGTTTATTGGTTGGGCCATCCCTAAGCTCCCAAACAGACGAGTGCCCAATTTAAGAGTTTATTGGTTGGGCCTTTCCTAAAGCTCCCAAACAGACGAGTGCCAATTTATGAGTTTATTGGTTGGGCCTTTCCTAAGCTCCCAAACGAGTGCCCAATTTATGAGTTTATTGGTTGGGCCTTCCTTTTGTCGCCCCATCCTACGAATTTCTCCTTCACTTCCTCGTTTCCAGTCCGCTTGAGGTTCGCACTTGCAGTGAGTCACGAATTCGTCCCAAACTCTCGAATGCTGCGACAGACCAGGGCGTTCGTCCAAAGGGGTCCACTTATTCCTCTGAATCCATTTCACCGATCCTTCAAGTTCACCCAGACGGCAGAGAAATTTGAACTTCCTGACGCTCCTGATCCCTCATATGTAGATTTGCCCAGACCCCGTGAGCGGAAGTCCGACAGAAAACCGTTTCCCACTCCTATGAAGCTTTTGATTCGAAGAGCAAAAGAGGAGAGAGAAGCCAGAAATGCGCAGCCTTGTAGGATGCTCGAAGACCCCCCCGACAATGGATTGCTGGTGCCTGATCTTGTCGATGTAGCTCAAAATGTGTACCTAGCTTGGAACTCCCTCCGCTTCGGCATATCAAAACTCTTGGAGGTCATTCCCATTCAAAGATGCAGGTGCCTGTTGTATAATTTCTATCTTTGACGTATTCTCCACTATGTCTGAGTGATCCTTCTTATCCCTTGCCTACCCTGAACTATAATTATATTTGCAAGGACTATTGCGTAACTAGTGGTTAATAGGAGTTGAAAGGACCCGTTGCCTAGAGAACTTTGTTTAGAGGACAGTGAGTTAATATGGTTGTCTGGTTAATTTGGTTTAGAGGACAGTGAGTTCTAATTTGAGGTACCATGTTTGGTTGGAAAGGAAGGCTAAACAACTTTGTTTGTGCTAAGTTCAGCTATTCTCTAGGGTCTGTATTTTACTAGGATGCATATTATCCATTGGGAACTTAACCCCCCACCACCCCCACCATTTGAAGCAAACTCATAAATTGTGATATCCCATGTTGGTTAGGAAGGAGAACGAAACACCCTTTATTTATAAGAAGAGTGTAGAAACCTTTCTCTAGCATACGCGTCATGGAGAAGCCTACAAGGGAAAGTCCAAGAAAATTTTTGAGGGGAAGCCCGGAAGGGAAAGCCGAAAGAGGACAGTATCTGGATGAGCACTAGTTCCGTTGTGCAACTCTAAAAGGCGCGTTTTAAAGTCTTGAGGGGAAGCCCAAAAGGGACAATATCTGCTAGCGGCAGGGTTGTGCCGTTACATAAATTCATTAAAGTGTGGACCATGTTTTAAGTGCAGTGTTGTAACTTGTACAATCTCCCCCATCGTTGTTGGCTAATTAACTTGCTGATGATTGTTCTCCTTAGGTTTTGCTTCGAGGTTCATATTGGACATGTAGGTCATGAAATTAGAACTTGCAATGGTCCAAAGAGTGGGCTTCGAAGTGCTACTCACGTTTGGAGAAAGGGAGGAGCTCAAGACGTGGTTTTTTTCCCCAAGTGTTACCATCTTTATGATCGTGTAGGGAAACCAAGAGTTGGGCACGAGGAGAGGTATGTGATACCAAGGATACCTGCTCTATTGGAGCTTTGCATCCAAGCTGGTGTTGATCTTGAGAAATACCCTTCTAAAAGACGAACAAAACCTGTGTACAGTATTGAAGGGAGAATTGTAGATTTCGAGTCGGTGAAGGAAACGAATGAGGTGAAAACAGGCGTTTCTGTAAAGCCTGATCATGGGATAGAACATGAAGGAGGCAGCAGGTGTTCATTCTCATGGAAAATTAGTAACACATTGGACCAACAACATGAAGAGAACAGGGAGTTAAGGAAGTTAAGCATCATGACACTAAACTCGTGGGTTGAAATGGTATCCGGAGCAAAGAAAATAATGGAAAAGTATAGGGTGCAGACATGTGGATACTGTCCCGAGGTCCAGGTTGGTCCTAAGGGGCATAAGGTGAGAATATGTAGAGCTTCAAAGCATCAGTCTCGCAACGGGTTGCATGCATGGCAGGAGGCAACGATAGACGATATTGTGGGTCCAAATCATGTATGGCATGTCAGAGATTTGAAGGGGCCTCCTTTGGATAACAAGTTGAAAAGATTTTACGGCAAAGTTCCTGCTGTTGTAGAGCTGTGCCTGCAAGCAGGAGCACCTATTCCAGATCAATATAGGAGCATGCTGAGGCTAGATGTGGTTCCCCCACACCCTGATGAAGTGGATCTCGTTGCTTGACCTTGCTCTTGTTCGTTGCCTCACATTTAGAAAGGCATCGAATGGCCAACGTGTGGAGTTGGAGACCCGATTTGATGGTTGAACTGCATCGACTTCGTATGGATATCGGGTGGTTTGGTTGTAGCTTGGTATTGGCTACTCTAGTTGGCTGGTGATTTCATGTTTGACAATCCGTGCGAGACATTCTGTGTATGTAGTTCCCAGGACTACACAACTCGCTCAGGACCATGTACTTTAGTGAGATGTGTAACTTTGTTTTTGTCCCGTCAATATTGAAACCCGTAAATATTGAGACAAACTAATATGTACTCTACATTCTAAATTTGTTATTAACCATACTTACTATAATGCACTGTTTTACTTACTAGAATGCACTGTTTTACTTACTAGAATGCACTGTTTTAGCTGAATAAGCAGACTTGGTGCTTTCCTCAGCTGATCAACCAATATCATAGCAATATCATATTTATAGCATTATGAATTTGAATTTGTTTGCTTCTTGATGATATCTTCACCTGATTTACTTGCATGCTTGTGAATTAAGCCTTCAGGAGAGATCTCATATAAATTTGGTCTAATAGTTTGGAAAAAAAAAATTAGAATTTAGTTGGTATTATTTTCAAATTTAGATTTTTGCCTTTATTTTCAATTGCATATTTTAAGGCCGGAGCTCTCTTTTATGTGATTTTGTGAAACTAAAGGGAATTATTTAATGTTTTATTTTTCAGAGGCCGAATTTGTGATCTACCATTTTAATTAAATATATATAATCTTGATAAGTTCAATAATCTTTTTAACAAATCCCGACCCCCAATGTTTTAGAACTAAAATAAAAGGGTAGCCGCGGTGTTATGAAGATAAAATTTGCTTCTCTAGGCGGTGGCGGGAAAAGCGTAGGGCGAACAGAAGAGGAAATAGGAATGACCCAGCCTGTGAAGAAACCCAGATTGGAGGAGCTCTGGTGTGCCCACTCGCCTGAAATGGATGCGGCAGAAGCAGATGAATGCAACTACACCGCCGACGAGCAAGAGGCGGCACTGGTGGCTCTAGTCGATCATCGTACTCGTGAAGTCCACCATCTCCAGCAGCGTATTTCCTACTACACTCGTCAGGTTTTTACTTTTCTTTTTCTCTACCTTTCACTATTAATTTTCATATCACATTCCATCTTCGTAGTAATTACACCCGATCCGCAACAATGTCAAGAACGCTAAACACTATCCAACTTTAGTTTGAAATTCTGGACAGGTTCCTTTCTATCTACTATATATCAGAAATGAACGCTGAAATGCTATATTCATTTAATTTTAGTGCACATTGGACAAGCTTTCTTATTAGGTCTTGTGAAATATATTTGAAAAAGAGATTATTAGTTCATATGCATTCGGAAAACTTCTACAGCTAGAGGAAGCAGAGAAGCGGTTACAGGAATCTGAATCTATGTTGGCCCGCTTTCGAGGTCCACGTCATACTTTGCCATCAATAACTTCTCAGGATTGTGGATTCAAATGTGTAAAGGCTGAGCCGAGATCACCCAGTCCTATTCATGCAAATGGGGGTTGTTATATAATCTTCCTAGTTAATTTACACAGCATTTTGCTATTGCTATAATTCCAACTATCTCCGATGTTCTAATGCTGTCAGGTTCCGAAGCAAAACGATTTATTAGTTCCAGTCACAGCCCTTCAGTTCTCAATCACTCTAATCTTGCCATTGTGGCTGAACAAGACAAACCTTGTATCCCTTCTTCTACCGGGAGAGTTCTTGAAGATCAAAGTAATAGAAGAAAAAGAAAGTTTGGTAATGCTTCAACCCTCTGTTTAAGTGCTATCCTTTTACAGGCTACTCCATTAGTTTCTGAGGAAGTAGTATGCAACAACGCAGATCCTCTCCCTCCCTTTTTTGGGCTCATGACGTTTGTTTTGTCTATGTTAGAGCAAAAAGAGCACAAAGAATTGATTGCATTAGTACGTAGCAGCTCTTCTCCGTTGACCGCCCAATGCAATGCTAGTTATTATTTTTCTAGTCAGCACAAGAGAAAACTGAGAAGCCTTGCTCCATGTCCAATTAACGACCAGCTTTTTGTTACCAGGTATTGTTATATTAGAATGAATATAAATGTAGATGTATCTGAAAGAGTGCAAATGCACATATATAAGATTTGATAGAACCCAAATATATTGAAATATTAAAGATAACTGAATTACAAGATAGTTAAAGTAATTCGAGGTATGCAGACGCTCTCTCTCGAACACTCTCACTCAAGCCTAAACCAACTAAATGAATGCTTACCCTCCTTTCCAACCCACTTTATCTATAACAAATCACCATAATGACTTCTCTAAATAATTACCAATATACTCTTAGTACTTGAATAATATTCCTAATTCCATCCTAATGGCATTCCTATCAACATATTAATTGAATTCTTTTCTTGTTTTTTAACGAGATACAAACGATAAATGAATGAAAAATATGGTTTTATTTGGGAGGAATTATTTTTTCATGTTATGAAACCTCTGCATCAAATGCCATATGCATAATGTACAAGATGGTAAGCGTTGGGATTACCAAAGAATCTAACAACTGCTTGATGTTGGGACTTCTGTAGTGCTTTGGATGGAGTGATCAACTTGTGGCAAGTTCAGTCCAAGGGGTACGTCTTGCTCCCCTATTTTCCTACCTGCTTAAACAAATCCAAACTGAATATTGGGACTAATAAAACCCTTGTTTCAATCTTTAAACATTTCAATAAATGCCATTGATGGGACTAATAAAACCTTTGTTTCAATCTTTAAATATTTAAACTCACTTTATTTAACTGCATTTGTTAGTTAGTTGTGGTTATTGAGGTTTTAAGATTCGGCAGAAAGTAATGGCAAATCTGAATCTTTGTTTTCAAAATATAGGCTAAAAACTATTGAGTAATTTTATATAAGATAAAAGGTTAAACCGTTGACTATGTCCTTGAGTTCTAAAGAATTGGTTAAATCCGGGAAACTATTATATTGTTGAACGTACTTGTTTGGTTCTCTACGTACTATGGCTAATTTTAATTATGATATTAGTAGTTGAAAGAACAAGGCTGATGGAAATATGCTATAGTTCAATCTTTCTTACCTACCCAAAATGCTTAATGCCAATTCTTTTCTACAATGATATAGTCAATAAATTTAATATGATGGGTTTTAATCTCATTGCTTACAGTTTACTGTGGTTATTGTCAAAAACATTCTTTGGTCTATTTTGTCCTGAAAGAAAGTTTCTCTAGCCGACAACTTCTCTTAGATGTCAATGAAAATATTATTTTGATTACCTAAGCATATTAGTACCGTGGTGCTCGTTTTAGTGGTCTTAGATATGAAGTCCTACATTGGATTCTAAAGTTCGTTTATTGCAGCCCACATCACTCATTTTCCTTTTCCAGGTCATTTGCCTCTCTTCTTTGTACTACCGATTGTATGTCTCAAAAGCAGAGGAGATGGCCGGAAGATATGGCATGGCATCCAGAGGGAAACAGCCTATTTTCCGTGTACAATGCTGATGGTGGAGACTCTCAAATATCAATCTTGAATTTCAATAGGACTAAAGAGGTAAGTTGCTTCTCATTCTATTTTAAGCATCCTTGGTTCCATGTGATACAATATATTGGTGCTGAAAACTATGCTGTTTCCTCACAAGAATATTATTTTATAACATTAGAGTTTGAGGCAGTTTTTTCTGTGTTTACATCTATTGACAGAGTGGCTGTGTGACTTTCTTAGAGGACAAGCCTCATGTTAAAGGCACTATCAACAGCATTAGTTTCTTGCCTTGGGAATCTGTCCCGTTCATTACTGGTGGCAGTGACCATGCTGTCATTCTATGGAATATGAAAGATAAAGAGAACACATGGAAACCAGAGCTTTTGCACCGAAACATGCACTCTTCAGCTGTCATGGGTGTCTCTGGGATGCAGATGAAGCAGATCGTACTATCTGCTGGTGCAGACAAGAGAATCCTTGGTTTTGATGTTCAAGCAGGAAGTGTACTCTTCAAGCATCAACTAGAGACTAAATGTATGAGTGTCTTGCCAAATCCATGTGACTTTAACTTGTTCATGGTCCAAACAGGGTGAGAAGTGCCTATTTATTGCTAAAATTCTTAGTTATCATTCTTTGCAACTGTCTTCAATGTTTATGAACACACGCATAGCTTCTTTCTCAATGGTTTTTTCTTGCTTATTAAAATGTAAATATGTTACCAATTGAATTTTTTTCCTTAAAAAGAAAAAAAAAACACTTTTATTAGATGCCATAGTGAAATACTTCTCCTGAATGGGACTCAATCCTAAATTAATAAATATTTTCAATGGTGGTTTTATTATGCAGGAGTCCAGAGAAGCAACTTCGGTTATTTGACATTCGATTGGAAAAGAAAGAAGTCCACGGTTTTGGGTGGAAACAAGAAAGCAGTGAATCTCAATCAGCTCTGATAAGTCAGGCATGGTCTCCTGATGGTTTACACCTAACGTCTGGTTCGGCAGATCCTGTAATTCATGTTTTTGATATCAGATATAATTCTCACATGCCATCTCGATCGATTAAAGCTCATCAGAAACGTGTCTTCAAAGCTGTTTGGCCCCATTCTCTTCCACTTCTTATTTCCATTTCATCTGACCTGAACATTGGACTGCACAAACTGGCCTAGATATTCCATGTTCAAGTTACTAATGCTACATGCTGTCTGCCGTAAGAGCCCATCTCTAGGTCGCTGGACATCTTTTGCACGTTCTCAAAACAACTTATTAAGAGCTAATTTGGAATCTTGGATGCAGTCAACTAAGGACAGAAGCAAGAAAATGTACGAGTTGTCTGCAGGCATGCAGTGCATAGTCATCTGGTTGTGATGACATTAAAATCTGAAGACAAACCTTGAAGACCTGAATATGTTGCTGGTTGTGACTCAGGTAGCTTAGTGGGATACATGTAATTTATTGATCTTGTTGCCCTACATTCATTTTATACGAACTGCTCAAAGACAAATGTTTCATTTTGGTTAGAGGGCTTGTGACTTACGAGTACTTGAACTAATCATGTTATTGTCTACTTTGAGCATAAGTTCTCCTGGCTAATGTGTGTACTCCCTTATACTTTTAAACCCATGATTCTCCCCTCGACATGGTTTTGATACCATGTTAAGAACCACGACCCTCCATAATGGTATGATATTGTTCACTTTGAGCATAAGTTTTCATGACTTTACTTTTGATAGTCCTCAAAGGCTTTATACCAATGTAGATGATCATCTTCTTAACTAGTCTAACGCGTCATTCTCTTAATTAGTCAATGCGG